CACCTTCTTTGCGGGCCTGCTTTCCGGTCATTTCTCGAAAACTCCCTATGCTCCTTGATTAACGACGACCAAAAACTTACGGGGGGACCTTATTCTTCGGGTATGTGCACAGATGGAAACACACCAACCACACAGCCACAAACACACCCACACACCAACACACAAACAACACCCAACAAACACAACCACCACACCCAACCAAAACAACACCCACCAAAAACCCACACCACCACACACCAACACACAAACAAAACACCCACCACACCCCAACCACCACCAAACAACACCCAACCAACGGGGGTCCTCCATTCCACAACATTTACAAACACACCGAATGTTCAAAAAAGAATATGATTCCCACCCAAATTCAACCTCCATGTTGACCTTCAGTAATTACGACGTCCCACACACCACACCACAACACCAACACACCACACAGCACAACCACCAACCACAACACAACACAACAACACAACACACCACACAAACACACCAACCACACACACCAACACACAAACAACCACCACACACCCACCAAAACACACAACCCAACAACCAACCCAACACACAAACACACAAACCACACCAAACACCCCACCACGCACAAACCGTTTACAACCAAAAATTTTGACAGTCCTGACATCACAAAAATATGCAATTTGAACTTAAATGTGTCCTATTAGTTTGGTATAAAAAAGACCTGTTTTGTAAACTTTTATTCAAACAACAATTTCCATTAGATGTAACAATGTAACCAGTTCGTCTTAAACGAAAATAACATTGTCGAGTATTGAACAAGGAATGTAGTTGTGTTAAGTAAATTTCTTAGCTTAACCTTGCTCCTATTAACTTGTGAACGTGTGATCGTTGGGACAAAAAAAAGTTGTAACCAAAAGACCCCCAACAGTCCGGTTGTGTTGCTTTCGGTCGGGTATTTATTATGTTGCAAATTACCTTTTTATACAAAAAGTAGTGAAAAGTATTTGTAGCCACTCAGGGGTGTTAACCGTGTCAGACAAACAAATCAAAAAGTATTGTTATGTAAGAGCCATAAACAAAAAAAACTTACTAAATCTTAGTATTTAATCAAAAAACTTCCGAGTTTTATTAATTATACTTATCTAAGTTTGCACAAACTTATCTCCTGCCCTCATTGGTCATGTGCGCGTTCATGTGTGTTGGAGGAGGGGCTCTGTAAGGAAGTCTGAAGGAAGAGGCAGATTTTTTCCGGTTGCGCACTTGAGCTGGTTCCTCCAAAATGACATACCCCACCTTTAACAGCTGATATTGTTTCTTGTGGACTATTCCAGAAAATAGACAGACAAATACTGGGGAAAAACAAAGAATACCATTGTTGGTTGGTCACTATGGAACACTCAGGCTTCTATTGGCTAATGTCCAACAAATTGTACTTGATTAAACGGTTGACCAATCACAACAGAGCCGGACTGGGCTCTGGTTTCAGACAGAGGGTGAAAAGAGGTGCTGCAGCACAGGCAGTATGCGAAAAATAAGGAGCTTTTTGAACATTAAAGGAAGCAAACATGTCACAGTAGAGACACTAAATACAGATATGAAACTGAAAATTACCAGAAGATGTTCTCTTTAAAGCCACTGAATTTTAAAGCAAAGAACCAAAAGGTTTCTTAGTTATTTTTGCAGGATTTAACAGCTGAAGGACATGGAGCCAAAACACATTTGTTACTTGTGTACTGTTCCAGAAAATCAAACATTGTGAGAATAGTGTGTCAAACGCAGAGGGAATAAAGGGGTGGATGGATTATATTAGAAAGGATGAAACCTTGAAATATAGTTGACAGGTGAGACAAGTAGTGGGAGCTACAGAGAGAGATAGTGGGCGTGACTGAGTGAAAGAGAGAGTGTGTGTTGCGCTACGTTCCTCTCAGATCCCTGAAGGTGCGCTGTCGGCTAAAGTATCTGCACTGCTGAGAAAAAAAACAAAAAAACAGGAAATATCAAAACAAGACAAGAGCATCCAAACATCTGGAAAGAGAACAAATACCGGAGAGCGAGGGAGACTCAGAAGAGAAGAGGGGAGAGGGGTGAGACAAGGGGGGTGAAACTGGGGCACATGCACATTAGTGACACGCTTATACCAACCCGGTATCACGGCAAGACGTGAACATGTGACGATTTACCATGCTGGGAGACGTGAAGATGTCACGATTTCGTCCCTTCAAAGGTGACAGTTACACGGTATTGTTAACATGGCCCAAATACCCGGAAATGCCAAGCAAATGCTGTACCACGATGGTCGGTTGTTATCGTCAATATTAATATAATAAT